AAAACTGGACAGTTCCCCCGACTCCCCTCCCAGCTCCTCAGCCCCAGACCTGGATGCCTTCTGCCTTTGCTGAGCCATTGGTACACTGGGTGATGCAGGTAGGGGTGGTTCCCTCTTGTCCTTCACAGGTACACTTGCTCATCTTCACAGCTTCAGCTTAGGTTTGTTCATGTTCCCTGTCTTCTTTTCCGCCTCCACACAGGTTCTATCACTTTAAAAATAAGCACTGTGGTCTGATTGGATCTGAGGAGTTCTCCCCAAAGGTGAGATGGAGGACAGAGATCTCAGTTCAGCCTCACCCATAGAGTAGACTCGACTTGTCATAGAAAGGCTCGTCAGGACAAATGAGTGTGAGGGGATGCTTGGGCAGAAAGAAGAGCACAGTCAGGAGGAGCTGAAGGTGCTTGTGTGGTCATGAGCTTTGCCATGGTCGGGGGCTGGGGCTATTTGTGTTTTCTTGTGTTTGGCGACCTATGGAATTTATAGAAAGTACTGTATATCTATACACACTGGGTTCACAGATGAAAGGCAATGGCCCATTTTATTGTATCTTCAAGACTTTGGAATTTTCTTTTTCGTGTCTTGGAAGAGAAAATAGGTATTATAACCATCAGTAACTGTGCCCTCAATCCATAGCTTTTCTAAAAAATATGTATTATGACTTTCCTTGTCTTTTTTCCACCTTTCTTTATTTCTTCTATGCAGCAGTTATGGATTTCAATTGAACACAAAATCATGTATGTTGAACCTGCCATCTTTATCCAGAGTCCTAAATGTTAATCTCTTTCTGTTAATCTCTATTGTGACCCTCTAGTGATTCACTGTAGGGCTCTTGTCAACTTGAACAATTTGAATTTTAAAAGGCATTTACATGTTTTTCCTCCATAGCTCCAGTAGGACGTGTCACACTGGCAGGAATCTTGTCTGTATTTTTCAACCGATACTCCTCCTGCCTCTATTACGCAGCCATTAAATACTCCGGGAACACGCGCTCACATGCCTCGTTCACTGTGGCTGGGCCCAGCTCTCTCTTCTTAACTCATTTCATCACTAGGCTCTCTTTTGAAATGAAAGAATAAAGAGAGAGTGGCAAGTGAGGTGCTCAGGTCACGCGAGGGACAGAACTGTGCTCTGAACTCAGATGGCCCAGCCCCAGAGCCCGTGGCCTCACTAACTCTGCACAAACCTGTTAAACAAATGAATAATCTTCAGAGCGTCCCTTGAGTGATGGCGTTGCTATTCCCTTTTTCCAGAGCAGGACACTGAGATCCAGCAATGTAGATCATTTGGCTAGGGTTCTTTCGGGAGTAAGTGGTGTACGAGGAAGTCAAGCCCTGTCCTTCTCATGCTACAGTGCCGGCAGCTGCTCCAAACAGCTGTGCATAAATATTTATTACAACTTAAAGCTGAGGACTATCCGAGTCTCAGCCCAGCGCAACAGATGGCTGACTTAGCAGTTTACGCAAGCACATTAATACTATTCATTCTATTTATTTAGTTAGGACTTTCTGAGTTAAATATAGATATTTGGGCATAAAAGCATTTATAGTTACCGACCCTAAAATAAAACACAAGGCATGTGGAAGACACACACATGTGCACAAGCGTGCGCGCACACACACACATGCACACCCTAAAAAAGGTGAATGAAAGCTCAGCTTTGATAACAGAAATATAACACAACTTTTTGTCATAAATACTTCTTGGCTCTGGAGTAAGACTGTCAGGCTGGAGTCCTTGTTTATTAGCTGCCACTTAAATCCTCTTTGTAGTTCAAATTCTTCTTAAAGTGGAGGCTATTAAACTCTCCTTTTTAGCCAGGCATGGTCACGCATTCCTGTAACACCAGCACTCGGGAGGCTGAGGCAGGAGGATCCTTGCAAGTTTGAGACCAGCCTGGGCTACAAAGTGAGCTGAAGGCCAGCCTGAATGGCATAGCAAGACCCTGTCTCAAAAAGAAAAAAAAATTCTCTTTTTTGAAGTGTGTTGGAAAGTTAAATAATAATGCATATACCTATGACTAAGTGGAAAGTATTCAATAAATATTAGCTATTGTAACTATATGTGTTATCAGATAGTTCAATATTCATTTTTCCTTATGTTTGTCAGAAGTGGTAACTCTATTTCATATATCCTTATAAACACAGACACAAACAGATCCATAACCCCAATTTAGGAATAATGTGTCTAAATCTTTTTCTTGTGCATGCCAGAGACCCCAGGCAGAAGAAGCCTCTTGGGTCATCAGTTTGTTTTTCTCTGATTCTCTACTTTTGCTCCTCTGTGACTGAGGCTCCACACCTGAAGACACTTTCCAGGGAGCAATATTTACACTAACAGTAACACTCTACATTTGTATTAAAGAAACAATGCCCTATATACATGGCACCAGCCTCAAATGCCAGTCTCACAGAACACGGCAATCCAAGTTAATGAATAGCTCATATGACGGAAAACATGTTTCAGATACATTGTCAGTAGCTACAGACTGGGGCATAAACCAGCAAAACCAGAGCAGTACACAGCGAAAAAACGCACCTGTCTGGTCCGTCTCTCTGTAGTGGGTCAATTGCTGCCACCTTGTGGTCAGAAAAGTTACGCATTGAATGTAGAGGTAGGCACCTGTGTATTGAGAGGCAGTGACAATATTCTTGTTTCCTGTATGCTTTTGAAAATTTCATCAAATACACACAAAAATTATGACTGTTCCAGGACTTGTTGCAAGGAACTCCATTTCATATCTTTAAAAAGTTAAAGGCAACATGTACCTGTAGGCGTTGGTCCCCACACCAGTCCTTGAATTTATGAGTGTTGGTTACTTTGTTATTCAGTGTGTTTGCATTTCAATTTCCTTGTCTGAGGAGGAGGAGATGGAACGGCAGATGGGCAAGACTGAGTAAATTCCCTGACTCACGTCCACCACTAAATGGCTTAATGATGTGCATTTTAAAAATAATGCATTGGAGAAATACACAAATTTCCTTAAATCCTCTAAAAGTCATCATTAGCATATTCTAACAGTGCTCTCTTGAGGTGAAAAACCTGCCTCTTGACTTCCTGGAAGAGGAGGCAAGAAATGTCTGAATCTACCAAGTGTAAGAGTGGCTGTCTAGAATTTATCAACAAGCACATTTTTCAAATATATATGTGGAAAATGATATGTCATCTTTTATATTACTTCGGTGAGTGTTCTTTAAAATGAATCTTATCTACACTTTGTTAAACTGAGATAACTCACCACGCTTGAGAAGAGACCTTGGCTAAAGAGAAGTCACGGGCACAGATATTGTAGTTTTCTTCCCCTTGGTATTGCACATCCACAAGCATGGGAACCTTAAACTGTGAAGTGTGCAGGAGACGGATATTCCCAAGCTGGATCTTTGGGGCAGCAGGGTGACATTTGTCCTGGACCCCTCTGTTTCTAGTGGTCTAGGGGAGCCAGTGTGGGCACCTTTCCCACTGATGCAGAGCCAAGTGGGCTATAGGACATACTGGGGGGTTCTGGGCCCATCGCCCCTGTCCTCACAGACTCTGTGGAGGCAGGCACAGAATTCACTCTTGTATTTTATTTAAATTTTCACCGTAGGAGACCTGTCAGAAGAGGTATAGAATAGGGAAAAGAATGGCAGTCAAAATGATAACAAGCTTTTCAAGGTTCAGTTTTAAAATCACCAGTTGGGTGTGCATGTAACTATGTAAATAATGTTTTGCAAACCATACAAATATAAGGCATTATGTTCTAGTAACCTGTATTAATCTTGCTAAATCATAATTCAAATATGAGATAAACCAGAAAACTAGTGAGACAGTTATCTGCTACTTGCTTCGAGAAGGCTGATGGATGGATACTAATCAGTGTTGTGCACATGCAATATTCCTACCTTTTGTGCTTCATAGCCAGCTTTTGCGGGGGAGGCTGCTGAGTACCAAGTCCAGGGCTTTTGCACTGAGCTATATCTCAAGATCTTTTAACTTTTTCATTTTGAACTTGAGCCAACTAAGCTGCTAAATTGTCCAGGCTGGGCTAGAACTTGTGATCCTCTTTCCTCAGCCTTCCAGAGTTCTGGGATTACAGGTGTATACCATCACCCCAGACCAACCAAAATTTTTGTACAAAAGAACAAAAGAATTAGTTGATAGACAGAGGCCTTCTATCAGAGACTTGAGTAAAAACCTAAAGACAATTTATAAACAATAAACACATTTTTATACATAAACATTTCATATAAATTTTCCTTTCCAAGTCTCTTAGATTTACTATGTAAATATTAGCTTAATAATATATCAAGAAGGGCTATGTGAATGATGCATTTTGTAGATAGTATTCAAGGCAGGCAAATTTCATGTCAAGGTACCCGGTGCCAAAGAGAGAAATTCATGTGTGCCCAAAAGCAAGATGATTCACTGTGGCTTATTTGCTTTACGGTCAATGGCAAGACTGGGAGGGACATTAAGGAACAAACTCTAGAAGTTGTGGGGTTAGCTTGGTGGCCAAGTGTAAGGTCATGAGTTTGATCCTCAGTACCAAAAAAATAAATAAATAAAAAATTACAAATTCTAGAAATTAAAAACACAATGAAATAATTGTATTAGTAAAAGAATAAAAATCATAAATCTAACAGGTGAAATTTCTTTCTTTCTTTCTTTCTTTTCTTGGCTTTTTGAAACAGGGTCTTGCTATGTAGCCCAGGCTGGCCTCAAACTTGCAGCAATCTTCCTGCTTCAGCCTCCCAAGTGCTAGAATTATAGGCTGCACCACCATGCCCTGCCAGATGAACTATGTAGTTATTATGTGCAAAGAAACTATAAAATTGGTGACAGAGTCTTTCTTTTAAAATCCTGACTAATGGAGAAAGGAGTACGATCTGTGGAACCAGGCTGAGCCCCCATGCTGCCATTCTGAATTCATGTGGGAGGAGACAGATGGGAAATCTCCTTCCTCTGTGCTCAGCACTCATTTTCCTCCTGGGTGTAATGTGACATTTTTGTCTGTCTTGTAGAATCAAGTGTTTAATGAGCTGCTTACACAAGAAGCTCCTCGCCTCCTGCAAGATTTGGAAACATATTTAGGGGACAAAGAGTGGTTTATTGGTAATTCTGTGAGTATATTTTTAAAAATATCAGCAAATATATTTAAATAAAATGGTAAAACAAATATTCATCTAAAGAAAGCATTACTCATAGAAAAGGAATAGATTACATGGCAGAGATGAAAGCTAAATTCCTTTATGCTAAAATCTTTAGAATCATGAAATATTTTACATAATTATATAAAATGACAAGTTTCAAAAAGCTATCCTAAAACCAAAATCAAAATGAACAAATAAACTTATCTCAAGTAGATGTAGAGACGGTGTAAAGAATATGCATTGTGCTTTATTAGTGAAAAATTATTTCAAGAGATATGATTTTGTAAAATAGTAACTTGATTCTACATCTAAAGAAAGTTATTCTCTCAGAACAAAAAATAAAAATCATACACCAGACTCAGTAATGTTTTTGATTATGATTATGTCTATATTGTGGGTGCAGAAATAAGAAATTACGTTGATATTATTAAGAGCTGCTGTCCAGTGATCTCGCCCTCACGGATCTCACCCTCGCGCTAGGCCACAGGATGCAGGGCCGCCAAGGGGCTCTGGTGACCTCTGCTCACGGTCTCCTGCCTCAACTTGTGCGTGCCACAGAGGCCAAGGCCCACTGCTGTGTCCACAGCTCTCCACCACCGCGACACTTCCTCGCTGTTTCCCGTCATCTGTCTTAGCTTTTCCCAAGACAGTCCTCTTCCCGCCGTCGTTATCTGCAATACTGCAGAGGTTTAAACTCTAAAGGCCCTTTATACTCGGTTTCCTGATGCGTCTCGAGGCGCCCTTCCCCTTCCCTACAGCCTCCACACCAAGGCGAGTGTTCCTCACACACATGGCACACACTCACCCTACAGCCTGCGCACCTTGGGTTCTCTCTGCACACAGCGTTTCATCCCCAGATCGCTCTGTGTCTGGATTCTTTTCTACCATGCAAGCCTTGCCTTCTGCTCTTCTGAAAGGGCTGTCTGAGAGTCCCCTTACTTTTTCCTCATCACTACTGTCTTGTAAAATAAAAGCCACATTGGGGAGGGGGTTGCACCACACCTTGCTTGCCTATCAACACCCAGCACTCAGCCCTGGCCTAGGCATGCAGTATGTGCTCAATAAATCATCTCAAACTTGACTTCTGAATCCTCCAGTAGTATCTCTGGGCTTACAGATAGTGAGCTGGTTCATAAGACTCTAGCAATCAGCTTCTTCAATTCTGTACACGAATCTAAGAATGGTCCTCATTTAAGCTTCATTGTTGACTAACATTTGCAAGGAAGCAAAGTCACATTATACAGGTTACTCTGTAGTCACACAGACAAAATGCCTAAGTGTACAAGAGTGGGGCCAGACTGTCATAGTCCTGGTCCCAGGGCCAACCAGCATTCAGCTAATGAGCAAACGTCTGTGTATTATTTCTCCTGATTCGATACAGGATAATATATTTTAGCCTGACACTATTTCACTGGGAAGGGTACAGCAGTGGTGACAGACTTATGGCGCATGTGCCACAGTGGGCAGTTTGTAGTCCTGAAAGCTCTTAAAGGCTCACTACCCATGGTGTGGTCTCAGGAGTAATTTACACAGTGCTCATTTATATCATAAAACACAAAAGTACAAGACAGAAAGATGAAATAAGTACAGATCCCAAGGTGGGGTATTCTGTAGGGTGAGAGTGGACTTGTCAAGCATTTGGTGACCGGAAAAGAGGACTGTTGTGAATTACAAGGGCTAAAGGGCATAACTAGGTGAGATACATAAACCTAGAACAGATCCCGCTTTGTCCTGCAACAAATGAGAAAAATATGGATTCAGTATTAGATAAGATAAAGACGTCACAGAGGTGAAGATTGGACCAAGTTACCAAACAACACGCATGGTAAGGTTGCATGTTACCTAAACCTGTTTCTCCATCTGTATGCAAGAAGGCCCTGTAGTCTAGGACTCTAACAGAGGACCCGGTGTTGACAGTACAATGGTGCCTTCTCTCTACCCTTTTCCAGGCTTCTATTCTCTACACATTCAGTTTTCATAGTGACAAAATTATTTCAAATTTTATAATTATCTCAGAGTAAGAAACTAAGTTTAATTTTGAAATGATGAAGCTATGCCTTTTATGTTCAAATGGAAGACAATGTTTTCTCTGTTGTTTAACCAGGTGACTTGGGCAGATTTCTACTGGGACATCTGTAGCACCACACTCCTGGTCTTTAAACCTGACTTGCTGGACAGCCACCCCAGGCTGCGGACCTTGCGGAAGAAAGTCCAAGCCATTCCTGCCATTGCTAACTGGATACAGCGGAGGCCCCAGACCAAACTCTAGCTGATCCATGCCGTCTTGGGCTCTGCTGCTCACAATCGTCTCTCCCTCCAAACATGCCAGCTGCTTCTTTTGCCCTGAAATCCTCCACACACTCCCCACCCCACTGCCACCTTCCACTGTTGCCATATCCTGGAATAAAAAATAGTATTTACTTGCCATTTTCTTTATTTCTAAAGAATAGTTTCTCACTGTTTATGTTTTGTTGTTTTTTGAGACCACATCTTGCCAGGCAGTACAGATTGGCTTGAACTCACTGTTAGTCCTTGAATTCACAAAAACATTCCATCCTTAGATACCCAAGTGTTGAGATTACAAAGGTCTGCCACCACGCCTGGAAAATGTCACACCATTTACATTAAGGAAAAATAGTTTCCATGTAGACATGCAAAGCCTGCAGCTCACTCCTGAGTCCACAGTTAATTATTCCAAGAGTGTGCGCATACTAAGCAATGACTGATTATCCCATCAGTGATTCTCACACCCAGCATAGGGTGCTGTTGAACTGCTTGTCAGTGATAAATCCATTGGCTATTGAAAAAAAATAAGTGTTACAGCAAAAGAACAAAAAATGGAGTCAAATTCAAGTTAAAGATAGGTGAAGATATGAAGATATAAGAGGTGCACATACGGGGAATATAATACTGCTATAATTCAGTGGTCTCCAGGCAGGAACCCAATGGAGGTAACATGATTGGCAGAAATAAGGAGGCTGAACCCAAGCCTTTGCACTGAGCTATTATTGTTCTAAATTTTGAGACAGGTTCTCCCTAAGCTGCTAGTTCACCCAGAGTGGGATCAAACCTGCGATCCTCCTGCCTTGGCCCCCTAGAATGCTGGGGTTACAGGTGTGTGCCACCATGCCCATCTGGGAAAGTGGTTGTTGACAAAAAGGTATTAGAGGGCTCAAATGATGACACTAGCAACAAAACAAAGCAATCAAATAAAAAGCACTTCTCATTAAAAAATAGAGATCAAGAGAATGAAAGGACAAGCCACAGACTGGGGGAAAAACTTATAAAATGTACATGATAAAGAACTGTTATTGAAAATATACAAAGAGCTGGAAAAAAGTCAATAAAAAATAAATAAAATATCAGCAAAGGACTTTAACTGATACATATTTTACCAAAACTCTATACTAGTGGCAATAGGTATGTAAAGAGATACCAAAATAATTTTATTAGGAAGTTTCAAGTTAAGATTAAATATACCCACACACCCAATAGGATGTTGAAAACTCCAAAAGACACGAAGCTACTAAAAATGAGGAACCCCAGGAGCTGTGGTTCATGACTGACAGAATGTTCTCTCTGTACACCCCAGGCTGTGCGGCCACCTGGTCAGGGTATGTCCGTGTCGCATTGGTAGATAGGAAAAGCGATCTGGCCACTCTGTGTGGATATAGACAGGGGATCAGATGTTCAAGCAGACAAATGGACCTACTGCCAGACCTGGCAGATCCAGTCACCTCTAAAGCCAAACACATTGGACCTGGCTTCTTGCTGTGGAGGTGAGGCCCCATGTACTTCCACACCTGAGCATGAACTTCTCACAGGTGTGTGTGGGCCTGCTCTCACCCCATGACTGGTCTAACAGCTGTCTCTGACCTAGACACTGTGCTATGGTGATGCCACAAACTCTGAAGCAAAGCTGTTCTGTGGCCTGGTTAAACCACTTTTTAAACAGTTAACCACTTCCCAAAATATCACCAGATTAAACCTCCTCAAACATCCCAGGCACTGCAGTAGTTTCCTTCTCCAACTCTAGCCTGCCACGTGGCAGGAGTCACTTTCCATGGGAAATTCCACACTGAGTCTGCAGTTTGCAGTAGTTGTGTCACTGCTTCCATCAATGGTAGAAGGTACTTTAAGGTAATGTACTGCTCCATAGTACATGTGAGAAATGAGGATTTTCCTTCCTTCTCACCTGCCTGCCTTCTTTCATTCCTTCCTGCTTTCCCTTTCTTCCTATTATTTTTTTTTTCATGGTACAGAAGACCTTCAAGTCACAACCAGCCTCACATACAAACATCCTGGGTTACAACTGGAATTTTAGGTTTAACTCATGATCAAAGTCTTAGGTTATGACCTGAATGCTGGCCTCTTGTGCAGTCCTAAACAAAGACTCACCATGCCAGAAAAACCTTTGTTATGTTATAAGCATCAGTCTGAGCCCAGCTGTGGGTGTTTGTGGATGTGATTTCAGTCAGTACTTTATATAATTGCTACAAATGCTGCTACCAAAATGGCCCCAAAAAAGTTAGAAAAGAAGCTAAAGAAGGGAAAGTAAAGAAAGTAATCACAATTGAAAAGAAGAGGAACATTGTGTGAACATATGAGAGTGTTCATGTGACCTTCTCCCTAACGTGCACAGCATGTTCAAATCCAACATCTTGATCATCTTACCAAGAAAAGATTTGTACAACAAACCTAGTGTTGCTAACGGTGTTGCTCAGTTTAGAAAGTCATGGTCAACAGTGTTAGACAAGGTAAAAAGGCTACTATTAGTGCATAAGAACCAAAGGCAGATGGCCAGTTCTATAATTTGTGAGAAACCTAGAGTGATAAAAGCAGATCACGTAAAGGATAATCCATCAATGAGTGCCAGTGGTGAAACATTTCATGCCAGTGAGAGGTGGTTTCACAATTTTACAGTGAGAAATGGGGTTCATAGTGTAACCAGGCTTGGTGAAGTAGCTAATACTGATAAAAGAGCTGCTAAGAATTATACATTACTTCAAAATGACACAAAGAAATGGCTTTCATGACTATCAAGATTTTAACTGTGATGAAACTGGTCTTCTTTGGATGAAAATGCCCACAAGAATGTACATTAACCAGGAAGAGAAAATACAAAGCCACAAATCAAGAAGGACGGCCTAAACTTACTGTTCTATGCCAGTGTGACCTCAAGATAAAGCCTTTCTTGCTTATCTCCATGAGATCTCTAGAGTGTCCTGAAAAACATAAGAATTGCCTGGAGGCAAGTGTGTCCTAAAATTACACAAGAGAATCTGGGTATGGTGGCACATGTCTGTAATCCCAGCACTAGGGAGGCTGAAGAAGGAGAATCATTAAAAGTTTGAGACCAGCCTGCCTACAAAGCTAAAGACCTGAACTGTATAGCAAGACGCTGTCTAAAAAAGAAAAAAACTAGATAGAGAGAGAGAGTTTGAATGCTGCATAAAGGAGCCCAGGCCTTCAGTAGACCCTGTGGTTGATGACACTGGCACTATGGCAGAATCCACAGACTTGCAGTTAGACAGTGGTGATGCTGAGGAACTGGAGGAGAAGCACTCAGAGGAATCGTCTACAGAGGATCCTCAGCAACTTCTGATTGAGCAACAGAGAATGACAGCTAAGGAGCTTTTTGAAGAGCAGGGGACTGTTGACAATCAGTACAGCAAAGTTCTTTTTCTGAAATAAAGAATACATTTTTTTTTCCTGGTGCTGGGTATCAAATTCAGGACCATGCACTTGTGAGGCAGGCACTTGTGGCACCAAGCTAAATCCCTGACCGTAAAGAATATCTTAAAAAATGGACAGTGCTACAAATATTTGTAGAGAAGACGCACCAGAGAGAGAAACAACCAATAGCTACATTCACTTGCTTAATGACAATGTCATGTCATATTACAGAACAGTGTTAAATACAGAAATGATGATCTTAGGCCAGTTTTCAGCTCTGAAAATGTTGAAATTAAGTGAGCCTGAAACCAGTCATAGGTGGCTACAAACCCAAGGAGAGAAAGGACACCAGAGATCCAGATTCCTGACGTTCTCAAGGAAGGGGACTTTCCCTCCAAACTGCAGCCACCTTCCCTTTCATCCTCCCTTTCTGCAAGCCAAAGATGTCAACCTGAACGATGAGTACAGCAGGAAACAGATTCTGGTGAACTAGGCACATTTTATAACTCTTCGGTGAATACTTTAGGAAAATCATTGGTATTCCTGATAAATTACATACATTATACAATCCTTTTGTTGTGAAAAGGTTTCACAGAGATGCTTTGGGAGGTTTGGAATACATTATGGGTATTTCCATTATTTCTTATGGATAGGTGAGTCTTGACTTTCAACACACTTGAGTTACAACCAGCCCTTGTGAACGAACTGAGTTCATATGTCTTGTGTCCACTTGTCTGACTCTTCAGCTGGATGGTGTGCCTTGGTCACACCGTCCTATCAGTTGGTTTGGGAGTGAATTCCTGAGGCTATCTTTCCAGAAGATGTTAGGAACTACAGCACTTCAGCGATGTGAAATGTACACATAATCCTGTCCCAAGAACATGAACTCTGTACATGCACATCTGACACTGCTACTGGATATGTGAAGTTTACTTATCTGTCTTGGATAGGTATGGGTATTCTTTCTTGGGTACTTTTATTCACGGCCATATTAATTAAAACCCTAAGAAAAGTCTGAATTACCTGTGGGGCTACTTGTGTGTTCTGAATTTGGGGAATTTAATTACTGTTTTATGGTCATTTTTGACTGGAAATTCAAGCGATGAGATCTACTGTGACAGGAGACAATACTCCTGTGAGTCTGAGCAGATCATCGAGAGGGACCAGGGGCTGGTCTGTCTTGTTTCCTCAGTTCCCAGGCCATAATGATTCTGGAACCTCGAAAGCCCAAGGGCTCTGAGCCCCACCTCTGTGACAGGACTGCAAGCGAAGGTCGTGTCTTCCTCGCTGAGGAACTGCTAAACATTGGCTTCCTCTAGCACAGTGTCTCTAGCCAGTTGCTCAGGCAGACCTGTGCACTGTGGCTGTGTGAGTACCAGGAGACACTCGCTGGCTTGGTTTTGGTGCTCCTCCCCCAGGGCTCCAAGATTTCGTTTCTTCATGTCTTTGCTGCCTGTATTTAATACCATTAGTGAGCCCATCATATAGCTGCTTCCCATGTTTTGATTGCTCGCATGGTTACTGTTGGTAAGCTGATTTGTCGGGAGCAGCTAGTTCACCAGAGAGACGGAGAAACTGAGATTGGCAAAGATGAAGACATACCTTCAAAGACAATTTGACTTTCAAAAATGAAAACCAGGGACAGGCACATAGCTCAGCGGCACAGCACCTGTCTGGCAAGCCTGAGGTTGGGGGTTCAACCTCGGTCCGGTAAAAAGAAAAAAAAAGAAAAAGGGAAGCACAG